TTATAAATCACCGTGTACCTGAACAACAATCATCCTAAAACTCGCTGTGGGAAGCCGGTGCTTTCTTGGAAAAATGCTCTGAACTCTATCAGACTTGGAAAGAGAAAATTCCTGAGGTTCGCGCTCGGAAGCTCACTGTGGGGCACAGGTGTTTGTTAGGTAATCATTTTCGACTGAGACGGAGAATACATCTTGGTGAACAGGTTAGGAACTGTAACAACTCCCACGTTCCACCTATTTTCCGGACCGCAGGCACCGGTGAAACCTCTCAGTGAGCACCTAGCGTGGGGCGGTAACGACATGAGCGTACCGGGGCCCTTCCGTTTCCCCACAACCCGCACCTTGCCCCATAAGACGAAGAATTCCCCATCTGGATGACATCGGGAACGTTTCGGAGACGCTAATCCAGCGGATACAGCGCTCAGATGCGCCGATTGCCCCAAATACCGTTACGTACCTTTCTCTGCTAATCCCCGTTGCTATGATTTTGCCTTCCTCTGATTCGAAATGACGAGTGTTGTCCCCAATTACCTCTGAGATAACTCATGGCAGAATAATCCAGCGAATCTACAGGCGAATTGCTTGTCCGCCTTCCACCCCGTTCTGGTGACACGGGAAGCCGGGGAAATGGGCGAGGGGCGGCGGTTAAACTTCGTTATGGGGAGTGCTTTTCGTGGTACTGGGTTGCAGGGTGAATTAGTCCTAATTTTAAACTCAGCGCACCCGGACTTGAAAGGCTGTTGTTCTATCCGATGATTCGTCATAATTTTTGTGCCGGAGAAAATGCCGATCTCTTGGTAGCCTGGGGTAGATCCAACAGCGGTGTCACCATGAGAGAAACATTTAATAGACATGATCGAAAATACAGCGGACTTCAAAAATCGATTTGAAGCAATCAGCTAAATGTGTTGGTATCCTCTGGCCGATCAAGCTTGCAATTGCTGAAGGCATTTTACATTCTGGACAAGAGCGTGGGCTGTAATTCACTTTTATGTGCCTTTGAAGGAAGGAAAAGAAAGGCAGAATTAAACTCCTGTATTTGAGTTTCTCTTGACATGAGATTACCGCCTACCGATCATCTTTCTGGCGGGTCTTGTCTCCCTAAAAAGGCGGCGTGATCGGTGATTGGCACTGGCTTCGATTCCATCGATTTTTCTTCGGTTTCAAAGGAGCAAATGAAGGGGAAGCTTCCTGAAAGATTTGGGCTAGTGTCAAAAGTTATTGGCCTTTTTCACCGGAGTAATTTTGTTTCGTGTTGAAAAGTTGAAGGTTGCCAAAATCGAGGGCGTAATTCATGGGAGTACAGGAGGTATGCGGAGTAACTGAGTTAGTAAGATGTCACTTGGGATGCACCGATCTAGTCTTATCTAATTGCATTAAAAAGTACAACATAGCATGATATTGTATGCGGAGTTGCTGACAAATCGATATATTACATTATAATCTCGTTTTCTACTCTGATTTCAATTGTACACACATTTTATTCGGTTTGAAATAGTGTTTTACATCGAACAACCGGCATTTTGCTTTGTGCATTAAACCGTGCTCAACTAATTTCACTAACGCTACGCCTTCGGGAAGGGAGCTACCTAACTACGTGCATATTCACCGCTTGTGGACAACGTTTTAAGTGGGTAAAGCCAAGAAGTTTTAACGTCATTTTTTAAAAATATTTGCTGATCAAGAAGGACGCATCTCTGTTCTATGATCGGGCTATGGAATCTAAAAAAAGTGGGAGGGCATAGGGAGACATTTTATCAATAACAAATCGAAGTCAAACATGGCCCTAATAAGATGGGATCAGACGACATGTAAGTGGAATACATCTTGTCACCGCGTGACCCAGATATGTTAAACCTCGCCGTGCACCAGGATTGGCGGACTGGATTATGAGGACGCCCAGAGACGTGCCGTGGTTTGGAAGCGCGTATGGTTTAGTGGCTAGCAATTCTGCTACCGGATCCCAAGGTCGGAGGTTCGAATCTTTGTCCTCATTTTGAAGACTGATATGGCCCCTACTGATACGGGCTGCGGAGTGGATGGTGTACGCAGCAGTCTCAAAGGAAACCCACGTTTTCAAGACGGAATACCCCGGGGTGTTATTAAGCAAACCATCCAGTTCTTGTGTACACTTATTCACATATGGCGGTTTGCGAGTAATATGTCCACATGACTATCCTTACAATGACCACAGTTACAAGACTAACACTGTCGTATTTTCATCACCAACGGAAATCAAATTTCACCACTTATTTCATGGGTGACCCAGATTGTAACCGATGCAAATTAGATTTCAGCCAATGGCTTGATTACAAACAATAACATTTCGTATTCAAATTGTGCAGAAAACACAACAATTTCCCGTGCCACTCCCGCGGGCTACTCCAGACCTCTCCATGGTGCTGAAATAATGGCTGTTCTACAGTCACATCCGTTATGTTAACATAAACATGTGCAGGTCGGAACCTGGAGCGCCCAGGAGGCACGTATGTGTGTTTCACATACCCAGATGTCACCCGTAGTCACGTACCTCTAAAGAAGTGTCATTCCTTAAATTAGAGACGACACCAAACTTCAGAGTATCAATGGAAGGAAAGCAAATATAAATCCAAGGGTACTTTAGTTGAAGTCTTGATTTGTAGTTTTTGAATGTCGGCAGAAAATTGTTGGTACTTCAGGAGAAAAATGTTCTGTAACGATTTATGACATATTCGGCGCACGGCCGACCCAAAACCTGAAGGTCACTGACCCCACAGATAGCGCGTGCCTCTGCATATCTGGACGGGCTGTTTAATATTCACCGCACGGCGCCTGGGCTGGCGTATGCAGAATAGTACACTTGGATATTCTCCAACGTACGGGATAGGTGTAACCATGTAAAATAGTTATTAGGTTCACTGCCTACTTATTTGAATGTATATATAGACACGGGGAAATGAAAACTTCACAAAATTGTGCACATAATAAGCTAATAGTGAAAGTGGTGGTAGGTGTAAATTACATACAGATTGCGTTATCTGGAATGTTTATAGTTTTGCGGCCAAAATGTTGCAATGAGGCGCTTTAACGTCAAATATAGTGAGATGACATCTGATCGAGCTCTCATTTTATCCGTTCAACACCGACCTACTTTATACAATGTCCTTGAAATCTGGCACCAACAGAGAGAAGCAACGGACAGGATGACGGATTGATTTTTGTCAGGATTTAGTTGCAGCAGCTAGAGATGCGCCGATTAAAGCCAACCCCCTGCCAATCTAACTGTCATTAGTATCCGGTAAATGATTTCTGATGCTTCTATTATTGTATCAAAGTACCTAAAAACATGCCAGTTTCATGGGGTGAATGCAATAGCTGAGTGAGTAAGGGCTGTTTACGGTTTGAAATGGTATACGTTGTTGCAGTTCGTGCGGCGACTAGGACATTTGTGCCGGTTACAGATAGAATGTCAGACGTCGAAAACAGGACGTTTTTCATAAGCGAGTGGGGGAACTTGTCAAATCACACGACGTGACACGTCCACCCACGTTCCATGGCTTTCTGACGCTGATTGCATTTTGGGTAGTCCTTGTCACGTGATGAGGGCCCGGCACGCGTCACATTATCAACATCATATCTTACGAGGATTATCATTGGTCCACAATGTCGGTGGAATCAATATTGGATCGCGTGCGGGGACGTGGGGGCGTGTAAGTAGACTATCTAGTGAAACATATGGCAAAACCAGAAAAACATTCACTTCACAACACTTCAAAACCTCAGGTATTTTTCCTCACGGCAAAGCTAAATTTGCCAGGTTAAAAACACTGGCATTACAAAAGCCGCGGTAAAAAATCAGCACAGACGGCCAACTGCAGCATATTTCGCTGTTCGGATTTGTTAGTACGTTTTGTATTGTAGGGGACGTCGTTCCAATTGTACTGGTCTAGGAAAGAACCAAAATAACTATAAAGTTGGCTTACTAAGACTAATCTCGCCATTACCGTAGAATCTAATCTGCATTGGGCTCCATTTAAACTAGTATATATTAATGTGCTGTCTTCTGAAATATTTGAGCGCAAAATTCTCACTAAACCATACGAGCTCTTGCGACAGACTAAATGTACCTTGTTACAGGATTATAGTGATGTAGCGCCGAGAAGCAGGTTATTCTAAGTCCATTTATTCATTAGTGAGGCGAGCGCGCCTAATTCTGCCGATCCTCTCCGCGCGGCGCGGCACTAAGCGGGAGATACGGTACAGTTGGGGAGTTTGTACGTCTGGCCGTGTGAATGTGAGGAGAATATTAAGCATTTCACAAATCTACATGTGTACATTTGGACAGAAAAGCCGTGAATACGGTCTAGCGCACGCAGAGGGGCTGTAGGATCGTGATGTGACTGGAAACCAAATGCCCTCCTCACTTTCGGTTCGGAAGACTTGAAACGCACCCATGCGAACTAGAGCGGAAGTGACATACTAGGTTTCAGCATGGGTGAGATCCCCAGCCCGCTTCAACTTCAGAAGTAATGTCATAGATTTTTGTCCAGACAAATATCGAAATGGTTAATTTTCTAAGGGCACTGTCTAAGTGTGTGGAATGACAGAACACAAATTATTATGCTGCTCGGCAGCGTCACACTTTCCACAAAGAAAAATTAGGATTTTAGGTTTGTAGATATCATTGGGAGTGGTCTCACAAATACGTGCTCATATTCAAACGAAATTCTCTGAATGGCACATACATTATGTGACGAAACAACTTCAGAATTACAAGGCTTGCGTATTTGCTCATTATTGGCTTAATACAAATGTAATAGAAATGGCATATAAATACGTCATTCTACGTAAACAAGACTACTGGAAACCTGGAGGTAAAGAGAAGTCTGAAATTAAAATGAAAGTGAATTTCCCTGGCAATCAGTTGCGTTTGTGTGACATGGTGCTAAATGTACATGAAGTTAACGTTCTCGCGCATAATAACATAATTGATGTGGGAATATAAAGTTAATTCGCCTTACCTGAGGTTTTGGGCTGTGGCACGTCGAAGGAGAAGGCGAACCTGGGAGAAGGTGGCGGGTTCTCCACCGAGCGCTCTATGGGAGAGGAATGCATCCGCCTTCTCCATTCCAGCTTGGTCTTGGACTTGTTGTTCCCCACCGCCGCGCCAGGTGGCGCCGTTGACGTGCTCCCGACCGACGAGCTGGTGTCGCTGGTGGAAGCCATGGCAGTGGAGACGGTGATGTCTGAACTGGCCACGGATCCGTTGCTAGCTCCCGTAGGGCAAGAAGAGGTTGCTACGGGCAGGGAGAGGGTGCTGCCTTGTGGAGACACGCCCGTCCCTGTCACCACTGTCGTCTCCACACCCATGGTCACGGGGGCTTGAGTAGAAGTAGGATTTTGTCTGTCGCTTATAGAGATCGAGGGTTCACTGATGGTGGATTCGGAAAGGGAGGCAGTTCCATTTCCGGCTATTTCTCCTTCCGGTGCGGCTGAATCCGGGCCTGGTTGCGTCTGGTCGGGCTCCTTCTGCGTGGTTTCAGTTCTGTTGACAGTAGCCGCTTGTTTGGAGCCGTTACTTGACTGGGATTGCTCCGACTCCGAAGTGGTTGCGGTTTTCCCGGCGTCTGAAGCGCTACTTGATGTACCAGAGCTTTTTGGTGCATGATTCTCTCCTGGCATGGTATTGGCGACGGTCTTGGCGCAAGCGCGTGAAAGAGAGCTAACTACTGCAGTCGTAGTGGACGAAGTGCTTCCGTAAGATCGCGAAATAAAACCAGAATCTGTAATAGACCTGTAATCCCCGCTCAGCACTCCTTCTGAACAGTCCGATAGCCTGTACTCCCCGCTTAGAATTCCTGTCCCTTCCCCTAGTGGGTCGGCGAGTGGCCCGTTCCTTATGCCAGCAGCTACCGCAGATTGCACATCCGGGGCCCTTCCAACATGGCTCCTTCCAAGAGTCTCTTGTCCAGAGTAGCTCGCTGAAACAAGAGCAACAGTCGTGATTTTTTCTCCGAACACCTGTCCCCCGCACACCTGCGGGTTGGCGATCACCTGGCCACACACCTGCGCGTTGTTCCCCGTGGTAATGTCCGTGAGCACGCTGTCACCAACGCGCGATTTCCACGGGCTGAAAGTCTTGTGTCGCTCGGGGGCGGGCGCACTGCTGACCAGACCCACTACACTCTTTGCAGTCGACGTCCGAGAGGGTGAGTCTCGGGCAGAGTCGCCTTCAACACACCTCAGTGGGGAAGAGTTCTTCACTTTTCCGTCCTTGTCCGACACGATATTGTTCCTGTCTATTGTCTTCCCGGCCTTCTGAGATGACCCCGGGTGCTTATTTCCGCCATGACTGCTTTTACCGGGCGCCACCATCTGACAAGGAGCGCCATTTCCTTTCGTGATGACCTTCTCAGGAGTTGTCACACGACTGCCTCGTCCTTCGCTTTCTTTATTGTCCCCTCGTTTGAAATCTCCCGCCTTTTTACCCTTGTTGGCACCGTGCGCTTGCGTAGGAGGTACCTTTCCCTTCCCTGTGGCCTTTGCGGTCGGTTTTGCAGGTGCCTTTGCGTTTCCACTTACAGACGACACTGGGGCAATTTCCGGTGACTTTAGCTTCTTGTCCCCTTGGGCCTGCTTACTCATGCTGGGGCTGGAGAGGAGAGAGGAAAAATATTCAGTATAGAAACAACGACGAATAAACATCATACAAACGACACAAGAAGGTGTCTGGTCACTGAGCTAGATCATTAACAGAACACACACACACACACACACACACACACACACGCACGCAAACACACACATACACGCACGCAAACACACATACACATACATACACGCGCACAAATACACGCACACACACACACACACACACACACACACATGCATACACATATACGCGCGCGCACACACACGCTCACTCACTCACTCACACACACACACACACGCATGCATGCATACATATACGTGCGTGCACACACACGCCCATGCACGCACGCACACACACACACACACACAATCACAGAAACACACACACACACACACAATCACACAATCACACAAACACACACACACACACACACACACACACACACACACACACACACACACACACACACACACACACACACACACACACACACACACACACACACACACACAACACACACACACACACAATCACACAATCACACAAACACACACAATCACACAAACACACACACACACACACACACACACATACTTAAAGGCGCGCACGTTTTCAGTCTGATCTCCTTTGATGCTCAGGAAAACAAATTGCGAGCAGGATGTGTTAGTAGTCCTCCTCTGCCGAACTACCAGATCAAGTGGCAAAATGCACTGTTCAAAAGACTCCCGCTCTTTCATCTACACCAAAGATATATGTACTGATGAAAATCAGTCTCAGACTGAAGGATCGTTTCACAGGTCCATTGGCCAGAGCTGCAGGCCTGAGAGATGAGAGGGACCGTTAGTCACGGGTTGCCTTCAGTGGGTGGAGCAACAGGAAGCGCGCAATACGTTATTTGCCGTGACGTAAATGGAGAAGCGTACTAATTACAAGTCATTAGGGAATTTGTAACTGAACAATGTGTAATATACACAGTCCTGTTCGGGGCTTATAAGCTCCCACGCGCGTAACCTTGGCAGTGTTAATGACCCCTGGCGCGCCCATGTCCCAGCCTCTATCTCACGGTCCTTACGTGACTAGCATGAAGGCGCACGGGACCTTGGCACCGGTTCAAACCGGATGAGCGTGACGTCATGGGTCCATTATGTGTGCTCGTCGGAAATTATCTGCAAGAATGTGACGATCAAAGAAGCCCCGAATGTCAGCCACATAATATACAATAGTAGCAGGGACAAGGTCACGTGATGACAGGCGGCGCTTTAATCTCCTATAACGGTATGATCAGGAACTGTCACGTGATCGCATCACCAGGGAGACACAAACGGTAAGCGGTGCTATAAATAGATAAACGCAGACGATCCCGTCGATGTTGACTGCTGGAGATCATCAGGAAAATTGTTAGACGGCCCCGCCCCGTGTTAGCGATTAGGAATGCAAATATTATCGATAATCTACCTGGCAAGCAGATACCTGCAGAGTGACGTGTGCCACAGGATATCAATTTCCATTGCAGCAATTTTTGACTACATTTTCATACTATACGAGGTGGCAAGGCGGTCTAGGAATGTAAAGGTTCTGTCTTCGAATCAGAACCTTTACAGTGAGGTGAAGGTCTATAACCACATTTAGAGCACGTTAAAATCCCACCACGTGAAGTATGGGTCCAGTGTGGTGTGCCTGGTTGCAGTATACGCAGGATGGCGTACGGCATTTCTGTTTTCTTTTCATATAAAACATTATGGTTCTGACCAGTAACTAAACACGGAATCGCAAACCAAGCTACCAAAAGGCAAGCTGTCCTGATATGCACAGTGAGGCTGTACAGGGTCGTCATACCGTGCAGACAATTTTACTTGAAACAACTTTGGCCATAAAATCGTCCATTAAGTCATTCTGCAGCGACCGACTGGACTTAGCCTTCACATCTCAATAGTCAGTAGAATATCAAACAACGCGGTTGCTATAAAGCAAGAAGAGTATGGACTGATCCTTTGCCTGGACATCACAAATGAACTAGAACCATGTGAAAAAGTAAATATCCATGGACAGACTGCCATATGTACAATGACTGGACTGCTGAAACAGTTTGATATTACTGGTGTACATAATAAGGAGATGAGTTATGGTGTATGATTCTATTCACTATGTAGCACTTCCATTAGAAGATATTGATCTTCCAGAATCCAACAAGAGCAACAGCCCACCGGATATGCCCATTGATAATACGAAAGGGAATGAGAGGCCCAACAGAAAGCCTTTCATATTCAATAAGGTCGAATCGGCTCGAGTACTTCTCACAGTTAACCATGACTGCTCAGATGACAACGGATCGGAATGAATCCTACATGTATGTGTTTCAAAGCGCTGCTGTAGACGCGCAGCACCAGCTACACATACGTGACTCGGCAAGTTGTTAGAGACTTACGGTTCTGTCTCGGCGATGCAGCTGATTTACCGGCGATGGTTGTAATTAAGGGCCTTTCCGTGATCTCATTCCCAAACCTACGAATTGACCATATATGTCCTGGGAAACGCGTAAAGCAGCGCGGATAACGCAGTCTGCTCGGTGGAGAAGCGGGCGGGAGCCTCCGTAAGCACCGCCGTGACGCCGTCCGTCTTATCGCCCGTCTGGATGATGGAGCCGTGACGTGGGCAGCAGCTTTGTGAGATGGCGATTTGCGGAAGATTTTCCGAGTAATAAAGTTTTCTCTTCCTGGCGCGAGTGGCGCATTAAATTGATTGTATCATGTAGGTCATCTACACTACACGGAATGGCACCACAAAACGCGCCCTTCACAAGTACGGGCGGCTCACGGGCCACAGAAAGGATATATTCACTGAATGATAGACGGAAAGGAAGCCTCGGTTCAAGGGAAATTCGCTATTCACTACAGAATGTCCTTAGTTGACCGCATGTTTTTACGTACAAAATTGTTCTGTGCTCCCCTCCCGCAAAAAGCTACAATCCTGACAATGTTTGACTAGAGTAAAACGCGTACAGTGGTACTATCGTTGTCTGTCAATAAATACAAACTAGCCTCATCAACCATACGTAACCAAACAATAACAGATAAATATGCTAAGAATGAACCTGGGTTGTTACAGACTCTCCTCGCTGACAGAGTACCTCAGCAATGGTTCAACAATGTCTCCATCTTTCGTTTGACGTTTACACATGCTTGAAAAATAAACAAAACATGAAAAGAGATGTTTTATTGACGCAACTAAAAGTGTAAAGTACAGTGACTTTCGTACGTATGACCAACTACAAAATAGAAATTCAAAATAAATCTTAACGCACTAAACAATAAGCACTAACATAACATAACATAACATAACATAACATAACATAACATAACATAACATAACATAACATAACAAAATATCTTTAATACCTTGTTTCAGTCAGATGCGCCCTAGCGTCGTTACTAGTTACAAAATAATACTATAGAACACAGAGACAATAACTAACTAGCTAACGGTAGAGAGATGGAAGGTGCAGGTAGATATTTGAAGGCAGCAGCAAATTGAAATGCGTAGCCTCTATTATACTTAAGTGATATTTTGATAATCTCGCTCTAAGATAATTTCCTGAACTTTCTTCAATGGCTGTATTGGCTATTGGTGGACTTTTCCATTGACATTGCCAAACAATAATGTCCAGCTGTTGGGCATTCTTTTTTTTAATCATCAATCAGTAAGTGTTTATTTCTCAAATTTGGCTACGTACCGCCGCCAAAGGACAACATGTTTGTTGAATGATGTCTTTGTGGAGGTAAATTCGACTTTGATTACCCAGAATTTGACCCTGCTCATGACAAACAGAGCTAGTTCTCGGTCCCGTTGGAAGTGATAACATTACAGCACACAACATATATCCTCTGTCGAATTGATTATTGAAGTAGTGCCTTGATCCGTCCCACAGTTAATATTTGATTCAAATAGAATACGTTACCATTCTTATGCTGGAGACTACAATGTACTTGTAGAGAATGTATATTCTCATTTTTTTTACAAGACTAGCTTATTATAGCTTATTACACAGATAATAGCTAACCGTATTGGTGTGCAGTTGTGTATCTGAAACCAGTGTAATTATAATTTGATATCTTGAGTAACCGTATCTTAGATAGTACAGACGCGCAAGCCGCACCCCAGACGTTCGCACCTATACAGGCCCCTAATGTGCATCGCATCGGTGAACACTTGACATAAAACATTCCGCTTCGGGCCCGACTAAAAACCGCTTGTGTCTCTCAGACATCGAGTCAGCAGGCTTATCTCCGCAGTACACTGTTATCTCCGCGGTGTGGGAGGTATATCGTTCAGGTAAATATGGTCGCTGGATGCCGAATTACAGCGTTAGAGGTGCCGCGTGCAGACAATAGTAACCACGGTACGGAAGGGATGGCGAGAGGTGTGCCGGGAAAGAGGGAGAAATTGCACACGAAGGATATCGATACCGAATAAATTTTGTACAAGAAGTTCTGAAACAGACATAGCTCGTTTTGCGTACTTTGTATGTCCGACAGAAACAGCTCATTGCTACCTTTATGTTCCGAATGGAGAGGGGATCATCACAGGTTCCGTTACCTGTGGATTCTATGCAGTTCGTGTAACGGTGCGGTCACATCATTATGAATTTTCAAGCAGGTTTTGACAGACCAACCGCTGATAATGACCTAAGATAAGTTAGACACCTGAATTTTGACATATCCGTGACTAACTCATGAATTCCTTCAGTTTGCCGTCGTATGACGTTGAATGTGTTAGTGTCCTGAGCAAAGAACGCATCGGTGATCTATGTTAGTGATGTTACGCATTCCCAGCTCATTGTAAGTGCGGTGCCCCCCCCCCTCCCTCCGATCGTGCCAACTCCCGCACATTTCACTCCAAGACGTTCGCTCTTCTACTGTTGCTCTCCGCGGTTCGGTTCGTGTGCAACAGTAGTGTTGAATAGAGGGTCTGTTCAAAGACATTCGTAACAACAACAAATGCCG